GAGCTGGGAGAGTGATGGGGGCAGAAAGAAAGAATGACGGGGTGGGGAGGCAGGAAAACAAAGAGAAAGACAGCAGGTCAGAAAGAGAGAGGAAGTCACATGCATGGAGGAGAAATAGAAAGTAAGAAAAGGGGGGCAGAGGGGAGAAATCGTGTGAGAGAGGTAGGGGGTGAGGAGAGGAAGCACAGGTGTGACGAATGAGATAACCATCCCGCAAGTGTCTTGCAGGTCTCCACTTGTGGTTATCTAATTCCCTTTTGAAGCCTTCCATGCTTGTAGCCACCACCACCTCCTGTGGCAGGGAATTCCAGGCAGGGTGGGATAGCCAAAACAGGGGCCTGCGAGCCACAGAACGGCTGCTCAGTCTCCCAGGGCTGGGGGGGGGTCCCCGTTTCGCCACAGAGCAAGTTACAGTGATCCAGCCTGGAAGTGACCTTTGCACGGATCACTGCAGCCAAGTCCTGGGGAGGGGGGGAGATGGTCTCGGCAGCCTTCTCTGCCTGAGGTGGAGACATGCAGATCTGGCGACTGCCGTCACCTGGGCCTCTGTAGAAATCTCCGGGAAAGGAAGGGACCTTCAGGAAGTCACGTGAGCTGCACTGCCCTGCGAGAAAACCACCCGGCCACACTCCCCCGCCTCTGCAATTTCCCCAAACACGCGGCAAACGAACGAGTGTGCTTGACACACCTAACCTAACAGAGAGGTATCAACTAATTCAACCCATTTCTTTGTTCTAATGATTTCATATCGCCAGTGACCTTGGAAGCTGCCCGTGGCCAGATTCGGTGGGGAGGGCAGGCTAGAATTCAAATAAATCAAATCAAATGAAAATTATATACAAGAACACAGAAGGACAGCCATGGCCTAGTCTCACTTATAACCCTGGCGCCGTTCTAATGAGACTGGAACTGCCCTCTCTGAATCCGTATGATTCCCCCTTCGGGTGAGTGGCCACCGTTGCATCCTGTGGACCTGAGACCCAGGAGTCTACCCCTGTGCGGTGTGCAGAACTATTTCCTGAACCTTCTATCCAACAACTGCGCAATCTGCCCAGATCTGGGCACAAGGCTCCCTTACCACGTGAGGGGGCATCTTGGGCACGCTCCTTGGCCTGCGCCTTCTGCTCTTCCTCCAGAGGAGACCCTTCTTCCTCCTCGGAGAACTTCGCCTCCATCTTCACAGACGGTCCCCACTTCTGAAAGAGCAGTAAGAGAGACAGGTGGGAGGCGGGATGCTAAAGATCAAGGGAGATACATCTCGCCCCATCCCCATCCCCATCCTCAGCCCTGCCTCCACCGACAGAGCTGCTTCAACTGCAGCGGCCAGAATCAGGGTTGTGGTTTTCGATCAACCCCGGTCAAGTGTCCGGAGGGATACATAGCGGGCAGGGAGGCCTCAGGCTGAGGTCGGAGATTGCCCCTTGAATGGACCGCATGAAGCTCCCTCACCTGTTCTGCCTGCCTCTTCTCCTCTGCCTGACTCAAGAGGAAGCCTTCGGCCAGGGCCACCGCCTGGGAACTGGTCTCCGGCCTGCATCCTCTCACCCAGCCCTGCATTTCCTGGGGCAGGAGAGTCAGGAACTGCTCCAGGATCACCAGGTCCAGGATCTGCTTCTTGGTGTGCCTCTCCGGCTCCAGCCAGTGGCTGCAAAGTCCATGGAGCTGGCTGCAAACCTCTCGGGGCCCGTCAGCTTCATGGTAACGGAACAGCCGGAAGCGTTGACAGTGTACCTCTGAGATCGCGGTGTCCTTAGCAAGGACCTCTGGCCCCTCAGCTCTTTCCCAGAATTCAACACCATTTCCTGCTTGGGTGGGATGGGGGCTTTTCCTTGCTCTCTTGCCAGTTCCAGGTCCTTCTGGGTCCTGCTCTTCCATCTCCTTCCCCTTCTCTTGGGTCACCTCTGTCTGTGCCTTTACTTCACATGCCTTTACTTGCTTGGCTATGAAGGGAGGCTTCTCCCTGAGGGGACAGAGAGAGACAGACTGCATCGTGTCAGAAGGAAAATGGAAAAGAATGGAAATAGACTATTGAACATCACAAACCTTCATGGTGAGAATGGCCCTGGTGGATGAGAACAGAAGTGTCTCTGTTTGGCTCTTTAAGGATGTGGCAAACTTAGCCTCTCATTCCATTTGGGTCAGTCTGTCCTCGGGGCTAATGCTTAAGGTAGCCCCAAAAGGACAAGAGGGACTGGTGGCCCCTTTACCATTTTACGCATCCTTTCAACAGGCCGGAATGTGTCCCTGGGAAGAACAGAGGGTTGGACTAGACGGCCTGTCTGGCCCCTTCCAGCTCTGTGACTCCAGGATTCCATGACTTTCAGAACAAGGAGCTGAGGTCAGGAGAGAAAGGCAGACAGGCTCCGGAATGAGCTGCTGAGGGGAAATCAGCATGGCTTCCGCAAAGGGAAGTCCGACCACACCACCAGAGAGTGGAAGAAAGAGAATTTTCTCTCCCTCTCCCAAAACAGGAGAAACTGAGGCCATCCAATGAAGCTGACGAGCAGTAGATTCAGGACAGACCAAAGAGAATACTTTTGTACGCAGGGAGCAAATTAATGTGGAATTCACGGCCAGAGGATATAGTCACGGCCAGAGGAATAAGCAGCTCTCAAAGGGGACTAGATCGATTAATGGAGGGTAATGTCTAGCTATTAGCCCTGGTGACTGAGGGGAAGCCTCTGAACCCCAGAGCCACAGGAGGCAGCATCAGGAGAAGGCCTCGGCCTCTAGGCCCTGTCCTTGGCTGTCCAGAGGTCCCGGCTGGCCACTGTGTGTGACCAGATGTTGGAGTGGACGGACTGACCCAGCGGGGCTCTTCTCATGTTCTCACTACCGGGGTCCTGTCACTGGGGCCACGCTCCTCAGCTGGGGGGGGGACGGCTTTCTGCCTGTCCCGGGGGAGTGGGTGTTTCCGTGGACCCCAGTGGCGGCTCCTTCCTGGTGGGCAGATTGTGTTGGTAAATGTGAGCCGCCCTGAGCCTACCAAGGGAGGGCGGGATATAAATATAATAAAATAAAATTTAAAACCCCTTTTCTCTGCCGGGGAGGCCCTTGGATACCCACTAGCAGCCCCAGCCCAAACACTGGCCTGCAACCCACACATACACAAATGTGCAATGCCCTTCCCAGCTCATGAACCGAATGGAGGATCTTTGCCTCCCCCTCCACACAACTAAAATCAGAAGCGGCAGAACTCCCCCTTCCTCCGCTTATGTCCCCCCTCCTACTTAGAGACAAGGATTCTCCCCTCCTCCCGACCCCAGTAGAGAAAAACTGGTGCCTAAGAGGGTTGCCAGCCCTCCAGGAGGGATCAGGAGAACCCCCCCCCCAGGATTACAACTGACCCTCCCAGTACAGAGAAGCGCTCCCCCCCCCCCAAAGGGAAGAAAGGCAGGCCTGCTCTGGGGGGGGGGCGGGAGGGTGTTGCAGTCCCACGGGGGTCCCTCCCCAGGCTCCACACACACAAACTCCACCCATGACTGTCCAGGAATCGGCCGCATCTTCCCTTTGTTGCAGACTGCAAAGGAGCGGCCATG